ACATCGTCATCCGCATCGCCCGCATGCGCGTTCTCATCACCATCACCACTACACCATTACACGACCTCCTTTATCATCAGCAACATCATCATCAGCATCGGCGTCAACACCATCATCAGCATCAGCATCCGCATCGTCGTCGCCGTCATCGTCGTCGTCGCTTTCATCACCGTCACCATCATCACCATCTTTCCCATTATGGATATCGCCAACATTGTGACACCTTCAGATCACCCGCGTCATCATCACCATCACCATTACCAGCTTCATCATCATCACCACCATCATAAACATGATTTTCATCAGCATCGTCATGATTTGCGCAGCATCATCGGCACACTCATCAGCATCAGCATCATCATCATCATCATCATCATCATCATGTTCATCATCATTTTCATCATCATCATCATCATCGTCATCATCATCACAATCACCATCGCCATCATATTGGCCCGCATCACCGTCAGCACCACCATCATCGTCAGCAGTAGCATCATCGTAATCATCATCATTAGCACCATTACCAGCACCACCACCAATTGCAAGCAGCATATTCATAATCACCAGCACCATCATCATCATAGCCATCATCAGCATCATCATCATCATTATCATCATCATCATCATCATCATCATCATCATAATCATCATCATCATCATCATCATCATCATCATCATCATTTTGAGCATCATCATCATCATCAGCAACAGCACCATCATCATAGCCCGCTTGGTCGAGCATTTGCTGACACGCGGGCTACACCGACGCAGTTGCGCCCCTCGGCCCAGCCCTGCTTCGCTCCCCATGCCATGCTGTGCTGTGCGCGCCTGGCGTTGCTGGAGCGGCAACTCCAAGATGGCGCCACCATCACCATGCACGCCAACTTCAAAAGTGACACATCCTCGGAGAAGTGCGTCTTCAAGATCCACCTGCAAGGCGCCTATGCTAGCGGTCGTGCAGTCTTTTCGAGCTCGGGAGCCGTTGCAGTGCAGCAGCGACCACCGCCACCGACATCGACACTCTGGCATCAGCGAGATTACCATATATTGTAAGCCCGTGCTTCCACGCGCCCGTCCTGCAAGGAGTGCTGGAGGCGGAGATGACGGAGGAGACAAGGACGGAGGAGGTGGTGATCAGAGCTCTGGTCCTGGTGCTGGTGGGCGGCGCCGTAGCATCGGCGATGTTCCTGCGGATGGTCCGGAGGATCCCTGGAGCGGGGGTCTAGACCCTTGGTCTGCTGGCATAGGGTGCCCAGTTGCGAGGGCGCCGAGGCGTCAAGGCGATCTTCCTTGCGCGCCGTCGTTCCACACCTTCAGTTCAACATGGGCGCCGACGAGTTCTGGCCAGGGCCGACCGCGCTCGAGTTGGAGGCAGTTCTTCTTGAGACTTTTCGGCATGATGTTGGTGCACTTGCGGCTATTCATCCTGCTGCTGCCGAGGATTATCCTCCTCGTGTTCTTGCCGATGATCGCGGGGACGCCGATCTTGGCCTTCAAGCTGACGGTCTTGGTCATGGCGCTCTTTTTGCCGCGCGTGGTGCTCCTGTTCCCCCCTGCGGAACTGGGTCATCCAGCTATGCATGCCGATCTTTGCCGTCACGCTGTACGTGCCGATCTCGGTCTTCAAGCTGTGGGCACCGATCTTGGTCCACAAACTGGGCTTGACGATCTTGGTCTTCCAGCTGAAAGGGCCGCTCTTGTTCGGCAAGCTGCGCATGCTGATCTGGGTGTAAAGCTGAACGTGCCGATCTTGGGCTTCACGTTGTACGTGCCGGTCGTGATCTTCAAACTGCTGCTGCCGATTTTGGTCCTTCAGCTGTTCATGGCACATTCGGTTTTCCTCTTGCAATTGCGGACCTGGGCCCTGCTGCACGTGCCGAACGTGACCTTCAAGCTGCGCATGCCGATCCATGTCATCAAGCTGGTCTTTCCGATCTTCGTCCTCCTGTTGTTCACGCTGGGCTTGGCCTCTGTCTTCCCGCTGCTGGCGCCGATTTTGGTTTTCAAGCTGGGCAAGCCGATATTGGTCTTCAAGCTGATCGTGCCAATCTTGGAGGTCAAGTTGTACATGCTGATCCTGGTCCTCCTGCCTTCGCGGGCTTTGCTTGGGGCGCTGTCCGAGGTTACAGCGAGGACAAGATGACGCATCCAAACAGGGTGGAGACTACGATAGTTTCGTATGGCGATTATCGCGTTGGTTTGGACGTCTGCTGCAAATCGATGAGCGATTCCCCATGCATCGTGACAGAACTTGGCTATGAATGGAACCAAGGTAATATCAATAGTGAAGCAGGATGGATCACGTGACCTGGACAGGAATTACCTCTGGTGTCATTGCAGTGGGGTTGCCATTGTGGCGGTTCCCCCCCTGTTTTTTTTTTCCTCGCGCTGATCCATCCATTCTCCACAGCTTAGAGATTTACTCTCTCACGCGCGTGTCATTCGAGGGAACAGCTTCGGCTGTCTACCCTCGGCTTGAGGGTGGCGCGGCTTGTCTGATAGCGCGCGCTGTGCTGTCACATGTGACGCCGCACACCTCTGCTCCCAGGGAGTGGTTTCGGTGGGCGACCTTCGGCTTGAGGGTTGCACGGCCTGGAGGATGGCACGAGCTGCGTTGTTCCAGGTGACGCCGCATACCTGTCTCGGAGCGCGTCTTTCGCTCTTCCTCTCCACTGCGGGGGCGTGTGAGGCGATTCGCCAGCACGAGGGGTCCAGCTGGCGCTGGGAGCAGGGCCGTGCTTGGCTTCTGCGAGTGGCGTTCAAATCATCAGCATCATCATCATCATCATCACCAGCATCATCACCAGCACCATCACCATCGTCACCATCATCGTCATCATCAGCATCATCACCAGCACCATCACCATCTTCATCGTCACCACATTGTTTTTGATTTGCCTTTCCTTTGCTGTGCTCTTTCTTTTGCCTTTGTTTGCTTTGCGTTGCTTGTGCTTTGCTGTTGATTTGCCTTTGCTTTGCTGCTTTGCTCTGCTATGCTATGCTATGTTGCACTATGCTATGCTATGCTATGCTATGCTATAGTGCGCGATGCTAAGCTACGCTAGGTTGCGCTATGTTATGCAAGGCTATGGTACGCTATGATATGCAGCGCGATGCTATGATATAATGTGCTATGTTGCGCTATGCTATGATATGCCATGCCATGATATGCTGCGCTATGATATGCGATGCTGGGCTACGATATGACATCATATGATACAACTAAGCTAAGCTACAGCTACGCGCAGCTAAGCTGAAGCTAAGCTAAGCTAAGCTCCGCCCGGGGCGTGTAGCACTGCCCGGCCCTTTGAACGCCGCGAGCGACCCAGAATCGGGCGACGTTGAACGGTCTGACTTCTCGAAACCGGCCGATCGTTCAGGGTTGAACGATCCCCACGGTGTCAGAAACCGCCGAAGTCGACACGACACGAATTTGCCGTATCCTTGCCCCTCATTCCATCTCGTCATTCTCCTGCTGCCTGCCTGCGGGCGCGAGGTCGTTGCCCGAAGGGCGCGTGCGCCGCCGAGCAGCCCATCGCCACGTTTCGGCCCGAGCGCCGCCCGCGCCCCCCCCGCCCCCCTCGGTGCCGCCGCGGGTCTTCCCGGGAGAGGGAGATCAATGCGGGATTTCGAGCCGTCTGGGGCTCTGAGGTTGCCCAGCATTGATTCCAGCCAGTAGGAAGGGCGGGCCGGTTCGAGAATCTGGGTTCGGGAAGGTTTTTTTTTTTTGTTTGTTTGCTTTTTCGGCCTCTTGGGGCCGTCTTCGGGCCTTTGGGCCATAAAAACAAACGGATCTTGGGTGACAGAACTGCACCAACTGGACTCCGGGAGGAGGGGTCCAGGGACCGATTTTGAACAGAGTTGGCGTCGTCCTCCTCCCGACAAAATTTGGAGGGTCCCAACCAGTTCAGACCCCTCAGACGCTTCCAATGTGGGATGACGATTCAGATCCAACCCTTCCACATGGGGTCCGAGTAATGGGATCGGAGGATCGCGCCGCATCGCCGATGCATCGGCGATTCGGCTCGATGTGGGGCCCGATTTCCTCCACGCCGACGGCGCCGATGCATCGCCGACCTCGCCGATGCATTGGCGCTGCATCGGCGATGTGGCGCGATCCTCCGACCTCATCTACGCGGATTCCAGTTGGGGAGGCCTCCAAAAGAGCTGCCCAGGTTGGCCCGTCACGCAGCAGCGCGCTGGGCAATGTTTCATACATTGGGTTCCACGCCGTCGTCGTCGTCGTCGTCGAGTTCGTCGTCATTGAGATTTTTTGGTCGTTCTTTCCCACAACAATTCGCAGCGGCAGAACAATACGGTGGGGGCAGTGATTAAGAAATATGCCCAGGATGCTTCAGATCTTGGAGGACTCCTTACCTGATGAGGACGGCAGTGATACCCATGGCCAGTCCACGGTTGGGGTTGCACTGGCTTCCAGACCCTGGATCCCGTATGGATTGGTTCCCGATCCAATGCTCTCACCGTATTTTTCTCATCGTCATCCCTTCGCTTTCCTGCGCTCGTGCACCACCTGGCAGGCATCCACGGGGCTACTCCGGGGCGAGGCCCTGGCACGATGTAAATGTGCCATTCGCTGGCCTGGCCGGGGGAACCGACAACGCGCTCTGGCCCGTGCCCTACAAGCTGGGCCCTCCGTGCGCGGCCATTCTTTCATTTTGGGCGTTTCCGCCCTGTCTTTGGCCCCAGGGCACTCGCAGGTCGACCCGGCAGGGGTCTGCCACGGCCGTGACCTGTGGCGATGCTGGAACTCTTCGACGCCGTTGGATCTCTGGGGATGCCTCGTGGTGATGCACACCCAGATGCCCGGCGTTGTGATTGTTCCCATGCGCGGCCCCAGAGGGCCCGACCCCTTCCCCATGGGGTAGCTCTTCGCCCCAGATCCATGTCCGGTGGCCCCGGGGCCCAGTCTCTGGCCCCAGAGTCCGAGAACGAGGAAGAAGGCTGGGATTGCAAAAGGCATATCATCCCCTCTCCCGATGCTCCCCCCCGCGCTCTGGCGCGCCATCATCTTCTTCGAGGCAGCTCCTGCCTCCCAGGCCTCCCTGGCGACGTACTCGTCGTCACTGGTGCCCTCGGCTCCGGCGGCGCGGCGGCGAGGGATCGGCGCTCGACGCCCGCACATGGTGAGCGCAGGAGGAGCGGCCGCGGCGAGTTCGAGGCCGGCCAGCCTGGAGGTGGCTCCCTGGAGCCGCACGCCATTCGGCTACACGTAACGATTGACTTTTCCCCGGAGTGACTTTTGCTGCGGGCGCACTCGGGGGCCCCAGGTGGCTGAATGCGATGGTAGTAGCGGCTTGCGCGCCTGGTGGTGTCCCCGAAGGGTCCGCCCTTGGCCGCGCACTGAGGTCACTCTTCGCTAAGGTCACTCTTGCCTAGGGGCACTCGGCTACACGCAAGAGTGACTTTTCGCCGGAGTGACCTCCGCTGCGGGCACTCGTATGTCTTGGGACGGGGTCAGTGCAAACGGGGGTCAGCCAGAGCGCTGGAGTTTGCAGGATCCAAGGCCAGGTTGACCCGGGCTTGGACCCAGGTCAGTGGATCTTCGAGGCACATTTGAATTTGGGGGCCCCAGGTGGCTGAATGCAATGGGGCAGCAGCAGCTCCCGCGCTCGGGCTTGGCCTCCGCGCGCCCCCCCCACCGAGAGTCGCGCACCAGAGGCTCCTCTTGCCTGGGGTCACCCATTGCGTGTAGCCGAACCATCTCGAAGAAGGAAAATCGGCACTCACATATCGGGGCTCAAGAGACGGGGGTCAATGCAAACAGGCAGAGCCAGGACTGCACTGACCCAGGCTTGGGTGCAGGATCCTGCGAAGCCTGACTTACCCGGGTTCTGCAGTGACCTGGGTCAGTAGATTCCCCCAAACTCGTGTCCGTAGCTCCGCGCGGATTTCTCGGATCGGCGCTGGCTGCGCCTCGGGTGCGGTTGATGGCGCGCTCCGCGCGCTTGGGGGGGGGTCCAGGCGCTGATCCAGGAGGTCCGCGCCCGCTCTGGAGCGTTGATGCTTATGCTGTTTTTTCTTCTGCAACCATCGGTAGCAGCTGGGCACTTGAGGCTGTGGCTTGCGCCGCCGTCCTGGCACGAGGCCGCTTGCGCGAGCCGCGCGTGGAGGCAGCTGTGGGAGCGCCAGGCGGAGTCGGCGGCGATGTGGCAGACCGACCTGGACCCGTCGCAGCGGGCGCGGGCGTGGAAGGCGGTCTTCATGGATGGCCTGAGCATCCGAGGAACCAACAACGGCATAAACATGATCTCTTGGAGGCCCGCGCGGACCTCTCGTCGGATCGGAGTTGGGCCCCCCCTGGCGGCGCCTCGGTCGCCGCCCCTGGCGCGCTCCGCGCGCCTGGGAGGGGCCCAGCGCCGATCCAAGAAATCTGCTCGGACCTCAGAGAAGTTATGCTTCTGCCGCTCTTTGTTCCTTCAAACATGCAGTCCGAGGCCGTGCAGGACTCGTACCACAGCCTGGGCCTGGCACCGTCCTCGTACGACGACGTGATCCGGCGCGACCTGGGGCGGACGTTGCCGCAGGAGGCTCTCTTCCGGGACAAGGCCGGCAGGGGCCAAGGAGCTCTTTTCCGGGTCCTCCACGCGCTGGCGGTGCAGCTCTGTGACATCGGCTATGTACAGAGTCTCAATTTCGTCATCGCGACCCTCATCTGTGTGTTCCCTGACGACGAGGCTCTGGTCTTCCACTGCGCGCAGGCGCTGCTCTTTCGATACTCGCTGGCCGACTTCTACAGGCCGCGCTTCCCCAAGCTTGGCGTTACCACTTGGCAGTTTGATCGTTTGGTGGAATGCTTTCTTCCGGGTGTACATGGTGGGCTGCAGAGACATGGCATCACTTCCGAATACTACGCGGTGCAGTGGTTTTTGACCCTCTTCGCGAGTGACCTCGCGCAGCCCTTGGTTCGCCGCATCTGGGACCGCTTCCTCCTAGTGGGCTGGGAGGTGATTGCGCAGGTTGGCCTTGCTTTGCTCTACGAAGTTCAGGACTCCCTCCTGGCTTTCGATGGCTGCGAGGTGCTGACGTTCCTGAAGCGCTTCACGCGCACGCGGAAGTGGGATGCCGAAAGGTTGCTCGACGCTGCATCAGACTTTCAGGTCACCCACAGGATTCGAAGTAAGACACATCACATACGAAGACATCATGTTCAGAGCTCCGCGAGGATTTCTCGGATTGGCACTGGACCCCCTTCCCTGGCGCGCGGCGCGCCAGGGGCCGCGCCGGAGGCGCCGCCAGGCGGGCGAGCGCCGATCCAAGAAATCCCAGCGGAATTCCGACAGTTTATATGTATGCACTCTTGTCCTTCCTCGAAGGATGTTGTCCGACCTGGAGGCCGCCTTCGCCTCGGGCTGTCCCGACGAGACGGAGCTTGTGGTCGAGAAGGACCTGAACACGGGCCAGGCGAGCTGGCACGTGCGCGGTCGGGCCGACCCCGTGCTGGAGCGGTGCCGGCTCGAGGGCGAGGGCGGCGCCGACGTGGTCATGCCGCAGGCGTTCAGACCTGGCCACGAGAAGAGTGCACCCCATGTCGGGAGGAGAGAAGGCGGCATGAGCATCATTTTTCGGAGGTCCCCGCGGATTTCTCGAATCTGCGCCGAGGGCCCCCAACGGCGCCGCCCCCAGCGCGCTCCTCGCGATAGGGATGTGGGTCTGGCTCAGACCCGAGAGTTTCGCGCGGAGGTCCGACAGTTCATGTCTATGCCGCGCGTTCTTCTTCCATCCATGGTAACGTCTTGCCGTTCACGGTCCACAATCTGGACACCGGGGAGACCAACGTGATGGAGGTGGAGTGGGCCCAGTACGTGATGGAGAGGAAGAGTGCTGCTCCAGAGGTAGCAGGTGGTGACGGATCTCCACCGCGTGGGCCTTCTCAGAAGGTTGCGGGTGGCAGCTTCTGGTCCGCTGGACAGCAGCAGCACGCATTGAGAATCCTGGGCAAGGCCTGACGCATCCTCTGTACGCATGCCGCATGCTACTTTTTTCTATCCAGCTGCCTGCGGCGAACCCCGCCACAGTGTGGATGCAGCATAGAAATTCACGCAGCATGGTTATTCGCTAGGCCAACGTCATTCTGCCGACCCCCAGGGTAACAGTGATTCAGGGGATGCAGCGGCTTCGTTTCTTGTGGAACTGGATTTCAAAAGGTGAGAAGGTGCAGGACGACGAGGCTTTTTGGAAGTCGCCCGGGATGTGTTGCGGCGCCTCTTGGAGACCGTTTGGAGGTCCGAGGGGGCCGTGTGAGGCCTCCCGGGAGCGCCGTGGGGCCGCCTGGCGGCCTCTTGGGGGCTCCTTCGGGGGCATGTTAGAGGCCATCTTGGAGGGGGCGAGGCTCCCCCGAGCCCCTTCGAGTTACCCCCCTCGGGTCGGGGCCCTCTTGGGCACTTCTTGGGCCGTCTTCGGGGTCCCTCGGGCGGTTTGGGGGCCCTTCTTGGGCCGTCTCCGGGTCCCTTTCCGGGTCTCTTGGTCCATCTTGGGATGGTGTGGGGCGCGTTTAGGCCAACACTGCGAGCGCACAAGTTTTATTGTTTTGAATCAACATTTTAGAAAATCATTGGTCTTGGGTGTCCTCTTGGAGCCCTCTTCGGGCGTCTTGGGAGCTTCTCGAACTGTCTTGCGGCCATCTAGAATCGTCTTGAGGCTCCTGGGGCGCATTGGAGCCGTTCTTGCACCGTCCTGGAGAGGCTTCGAGGGCCAGGGAGGTGCGTTGAGGAGCTCTGGCGCCGCTCCCTGACTCCCCCCCCGTCCTCCTCATCATTTCACACGCTTTCTCCCCCCAGCATGCTGAAGTCGACGGATACCTCCTCGGGGTAGCTGGAAGCCGCTGGGCAGTTTTGCCCTAGAGGTTTCTCATGGAAGTAAAAAGGGACAACAGAAATCCCACAGTGGGGACGGGGAGCTCGAGATCGCCAGGTCGACAGCGTCGGTCAGGCGGCGGTTTCGCCTGAGACTGCTCCACACTGTATTCAGGAATCGTGTTCTCGCTACCGACTACATCTTCGGTGTTGAGGGCCTCGTTGACAAACATATTTGAAGGTGCGCATGGCCGTGCTCTCACCCCTGTCCAGGCTGCATCTTTTCATTCTCGCGGGTCAACGAGCGCCCGTGAAACAACGTGTCCCCTCCTGCTTTCTGAAGGACCCCCCGACCCTGCCTACCCGACCCGCTGCGCCTCCTGTGCATTTCCTGCTCTTTGTGCTGCCAGAAGTCCATTGCACGATTGTTGCGTTGCCCCTTGGAGGCTTCTTGGAGGCTTCCTTGGCCCTGAAAGTTTTGGAGGTTTTTGTCAACACACTCGGGTATTCGAATTTTCCTCTCCCCTACCTCCCTCCGCCTCCCGCTGAGAATACCCGTGTCTTCCAGAATTCGATGCGAGACCAATACGGCAGTGTAATTTGTTGCCCGTCTTCAGGAACCGCCCCCTCAGGACTTGCAGCCTCGACGCCGACATCGCGACCAACCGCTTCACCGACGTCAGCGCGGAGCACTGGAGGCGGAAGAAAGGCTTATGCACGAACAGACGGCGACGTACCAGCATGCATCTTCCACAGAGCAAAAACGATCCCGACCGACCAGCAGCACCCACCAGCGACCACCGACGACCCCCAACCAACACCACAAGCAGCACCGGCCCAGACCGACCAGCAGCATCCACCAGCACCCACCACGGACCACCACCGACCAGCAACACAACAAGGCACCCACCGTCGACCAACACCGACCAGCAGATCCACAAGCAACGCCGACCCCACCCGACCAGCAGCACCCACCAGCTACCTCCGCCGACCGACGACCAACACCACAAGCAACACCGACCCACACCGACCAGCAACACCAGCCAGCACCAACCACCGACCTCTTTCACCGACCAGCAGCACCGCAAGCAGCGCCGACTCTAACCGACCAGCAGCACCCACCAGCGACCACCAGTGCCCAAGACCCACCAGCGCCGACCCACCTTCTCCTTCCCCTCCCCGCCTCCTCCCCCCCCTGCTCCTTCCTCCTCCTTCTCCTCCTCCTTCTCCTGTCGACGGCGGCGTGCCACACGGCATCTTTCTTGACAACAATGCGACCTCCAACATCAATCACCACCAGTAACCACCGACCGACAGCACCACCACAAGCAAAACCGACCCCAACCGACCAACAGCGCAAGCGAGCGACCACCGCCGACCGCAACCGAACAACAAGTCCAATGCAAGCAGCACGGGCTTCAACCGACCAGCGTCGACCAACGCACCCATCGGGAACCACCGACCAGCATCACAACGAGCAACGCCAACCCCAACCGACAAGCAGCGCCCACCGCCACCAGCCAACGACCAGCGACGACCAACAACACCACCACAAAAGACACAACACCCGACCGACGAACAGCACGCACCAACGCCCACCGACAGCCACGACCAGCCAACAACGCCGCAAGCAGCAACGAACCCAACCGACAAACGGCCCCACAACCACCAACCACAGCGACCGACCAACCACGACCCACCGACAACCGCGACCGACAACAACCGCGACCGACCGACCAACCACGACCCGCCGACAACCGTGACCAACGGTGCCACGACCACCAACGCCCACCGACAACCACGACCCAACGACAACTGCGACCGACTAACGGCACCACAAGCAGCACCGCAACCGACCGAATAGCAATGCACGCAAGCGCCCACCGCCGACCACAACCGACCAGCACTGCAACCGCAAGCAGCACAGACCCCAATCGACCAGCGGCGCCCCGTAGCGCCCACCGACAGCCGCCGACCAGCAACAGAGCAAGCAACACCGACCCCAACCGACGAGCAGCGCCCATTGCGACCCACTCACGACCAGCAACAACCGGCAACGCCACCGCAAGAAACACGACCTCCAACTGACCAGCAGCTCCCACCAGCGCCCACCGACAACCGCGACCGACAGACAATGCCACAAGCACCACCGACCCCAACCGACCAACAGCACACACAAGCGCACTCCACCGAACACGACCTACCAGCGACGCCACCACAAGCAGCACAGACGCAAACCAACCAGCGACGCCCACCAGCGCCCACCGACACCACACAGCCACATCACAGCAAACAACACCGACCCCAACCGACCAGCCTGCCACCGACCGGCGACGACCAGCAACTCCATCACCAATCGTCGTCGACAACAGACAAGCAGCAACGTCGTCCAGCCCTCTCCCTCCCATCATTCCCCCCTCTCCTCCTCCCCCTCCACAGCACCAACAACAACCAGGGCAGACCGACCACATACATATGACAATCATTCACAAAAACGCCCCGTCCCTTTCAACAGACGACCGAGTCAGCGAGATAATCAGTGAGCCCGAGTCCGATCACTGGGATTTCGTCCTTCTCAACGAAACATGGAAAACAACGGCCGAAAAGTTCTGGACAACTTCGGAAGGGCACGCCTTCGCCGGATCTGGCAATGACCAAGCATGCCATGGAGTTGCCTTGATCATACATCGACGTTGGGTTTAAAACATACAGAGGTTCCAAGCGCTTTCGCCCAGACTCGCCTCGGTGTCGGTGAAGAAAGGGAGACTGCAACAACAACTCGTGGCTGCATATTTTCCTCATTCGGGATAGAATGACCCACGCGTGCAGCGCATGTACGACATGATCCACGAACTTCACAGAGAGAGAGAGAGAGAGAGCACCAAAACACGACATCATTTGATACTCGCAGGCGATTTTACCGCACAGGTGGGGGCTTCCATGACCTCCGAGGACGCAGACGACGCCGCCGACATTTTCGACAGCACCACTTCCAGACACGTTGGCCGCCATGGGTTCGGGGAACAAACCTCGAGGGGTAGTTGGCTACATCATTGGGCCGCCCTGGAAGGCTTTGTTTTTGCGAACGCGCTTTTTCGCAATCCAATGCAAAATAATCACGTATAGCAGTGGCGGCAATCACAAGCAGTTCGACAATGTACTACTGAACCGCACGATACGCCAAATAACGACCACCACGCCCGCAAGCAATTGAGTAAACGTATACAGGAAGAGATCCGTGCACAGAAGAGCACGAGACGACGGGCACACAAAGCAAACGTACTGGAGCAGTTCAGATATTTAAAGAGCATGCCGCGTATCAAAGCACGAAGAAAACGAACTCTCACTACCCACATGACAGACACAGAGGGCAACAAGTGTACGACGCGACAAGTCGCGAACGTTTTCGCGCAGTTTTACCAGCAAATGTACAACTCGACAACAACGGCGACGCAGCCGGAACGACCGAACGACGATCGCGCCGACCGCCGACTGGCAGACCAACCAGCAGACCGACCAGCTGACCCGCAACCTAACAGGCCGAACGCCGCGACGGCCGACCGACCAGTAGCCCAGCAGACCGACCACCGACCGCCGACTGGCAGACCAGCTGACCGACTACCACCGATCGGCAAGCAGACCCACCGACTCCCACAACGACCAAACGACGACCCCACCGACCACCGACTAGCCGACCGACCAGCAGACCGGCAAACCAAGGGGCCGAAAGCCGCGCTGGCCGACCAACCAGCAGACCAGCAGACCGACCGCCGACTAGCAGACCAGCAGACCGACTCCCGTAGCCATTTTGGCTCAAGTCAGTTCGCGATCTAGCATGCTTGCTCGGGCGCGGAATGGCGATACGGGACGGCGCGGAATGCGCGCCGAGGAGAACGGCACAAGATCGCAAGGCCGCACGGCTCTGGGCCATTCGCTCAGCGGATAGAGCGGTCTCCAAGCTATCGGAGGAGCTTGGTCGTATCAGGG